AAGAACACATAACCGAGGAAAACATTATTATTCCTTTTAACATTATCTTGAGGCTCAATTTACCCAGTAATTCGCCGATCTTTCTTGAGAGCTTGCAGCATGGTAGCATTAGGAACCTGGACGAAGATTTGTCTAATTCCTTGTTTTGTCCAAAATAATGTTTTATTCTGCCCTACTTCTTAGTATTTTGAAATCGTTTACAATTAATCCTAACGTATAATTGTACTCAGCAAAGATTTTTCTTAGACTTCCTAACTCCTGTCCTGAAGTAAGCTACTTATTATTATTAATTTCATTACTGCTAATTTAACAGCATAAGTATGATTTAAAAAGAGAGTAAGGAAACCTGATTATATGGGTTCTCTTCTTTAATAACTAGGACATCTGAAAAGGGTAGCTTACTGTCCTTTTATAACTCCGTTGTCAAGTCAGTCGTCTTAATTAATTCCTGCGTTAACCCCAGATAGACTTTCAAACACTCTTTTCCACGCTAACAGATAGCAAAGTAATCGTCAATATATCTGATTAACGGTTTCGGAACTAGAAGTGACTCTTGAAAGGCCGGAATTACAAGTGAGCCATGTAGTCATTATCTAAAACAGGAATAAGACACGATCCCACAGCTAAACCTCAGGTTTGCTCGTACAATTTACCATTAAAGATAAAATATCTACAATTCATTAGTAAGTTCGTCAATCTCATGATTGACTCCTTGCTCATCTTATTTCCTAATATAATCTTGGGTATATATCTAAGGTTAACCCTAATGCCTGTATTGCCCCACTTACCACTATATTCGTGTACATTGATACTACATGTAAATCTTTTGGTTTAGTGTTTTGAGTGATTGTTACTGAATATGGATTCTGACTCTGACGATGCCCATCACATAATATACGAAAGCTCAGCATGGAGTTGTCGGAGTCGTAATACGATGAGCCGAGGTCTTCTTCGCACAGTTCAACAGATAAAAGCCTAAGGCAACCCTCCTTCGGTATGCAGTGAGGCCAATTTACAAATCCCTTCCACCCGCCTTCTCAAATAAAATGAAAGGTATGCCAGTATCAATCTAGTAAGAGACTCTACGAAACCTTGCTTATCTTCATATTAGGCCAAGAAGACTGTCTGGCTCCATCATTAGTCCTATATATTTGAGTTGGTGTGTGTATGTTAACTTCTATACGCAATACTGACCCAAATTTAGTAATTAAAAAGCCTAACGTCATTCTCTGGTAATCAAGTCTTAATGGCCCAAGCAAAAACTCCTACCAAAACTGCATAATATATGCAAAGAAAAGTTAGGTTTCGTGGAATCCGTAGTTTTATAATTGTTGAGCTTACTTCCATTTCGAGTGAAAGTGTTTTAGTAAAGAGATTCGAAAATCGATTTCACCAGAAGACGACGACGGGTTAATCTTTTCCAGCCGTCGAGTGGCTTTACTAGGGCATTCATGGTGACGCTGTTTCCAAATAATCTCCTTCGATTCCGGCGAAAATTAATGGAAGAAGATTATCTCTGAAACAACGTCACCATGACTGTTCCAGTAAAGCCAATCGACAGCTGGACAAAAGGAATCCACCGTCGTCTTCTGGTGGAATTGATCTTTGAATCTCTTCACTAAACACTTACACTCGAAATGAAGGTAAGCTTAATGAAACTGCGTAAGTCCGTAAGCAAGTATGATTGAGATACTGAGATATAGCCTTGTACGCGTGTAAGTTAGTTCATGAAACCACTCGTCATAACTCGTTAGTCTAGGGTCATTACAATTTACCAACCCAAGGAAGGACGTGACTGCGATTGAGTAATCTGGTACGTCTGGTTTGGTTGATGAGCTTAATCTACCATGTTGGGCGGGTGAGAGTGAAGTTAAAACCATCACTGAGCGGACAAGTTGAATCGCCTTCTTTTTGGTAGTGGTTTAACATTCTTTCTCTCCAGTATTCTATCAATCAAGCATAAGAAGTTCTTACTCAACTTTCTACCGTCGTTCTGCACACTCAACGCATTTCCTAATCTATCAATTTATTAGCCTCTCTGTTCTTCCTTTTAACAGCAGATGCACCATAATCTGAAAACCTACTAGTTTAAGACCATTCTATCTCATATCAACTCCCTGCTGCGTGTTCGGCCAATTCTGGCAGTTGGACCCAGCGCCCTCTACAAGCATTTTTATATTTTACTCCAATCATGGCTCCCCAATATAAGGTCGATCACAGGATCACACAATCTTGTTACAGCCGGATCTGTATAATGGATCATCTTTATTTTTAAAAGTTAGCACAACAGAAGAAAGTATGAGGGTTTTTATCCCTCCCTCTCTCATTAGTTCGCCTTTCTTCTTGGAAAGAAGGTATGACAGCAAAGTTAGGTCATAAAAAGTCTTCGCTTGTCTGGCTTCGACTAAATAGTCCTTGTCTGAAACTTCATTCCTCAGTAAAGAGATATTATTATCAACTAGGCTTATATGATACTTATTTTTCTGTAGTAAATCTTTCAGCCGTTCCAACGCCTTAGTCACAGTGTTACTATCACCTAGTTTCATACTCCTAATGAACATAAACTTCAAGATTCCAATTTTGGTTTTGTAACTATGGTTGAAAAATATAATTAGTAAAAGACCAGTATATGTTGGCTTCCTATAAGCATCTCTTCCTAATTTACCATCTTCTCTAATAGTCAACACATCCA